TTCTGCTATAATACAAATAATTTAACTATTGACGAGGGTGTTCCTACGGGACTTAGCTCGAAGGTAGACATTCCAAAGGAATCAACCGTCGACGCTAGAATAGCAGCTTCTTTTAAGGATGAGCCAAATGGCAGTGGAAACAATTCTTCCCATGGTCGTGCAAAATGGAAAGGAAATAATAACATTACCATTTCGAATTTAAAAAATGAAAAACCGGAAATTGTCGTTAATTAAGGCGCGCGATCCTGAGATGACGAGACGAGGGGGCGAACATATGGCAAGCCTTTGGTTAGGCGACCTCTCCCTTGTCATTTGGTTGGCAAATCTGCATCAATTCACTTTTCACCCGTTGTTTTAGATGGTAAAACATTAGTAATACTACTAATAGCACTACCACTCGCGATCGACTGAGTTGTTTTTTTTTTTTTTTTTTTTTGTTCACCATTTTTTCTGCCAAATTTTGTTTCCACGTTTAATTAACCACCGCATTAATGCAAATTGCAAAAAACTGATGAACCTCTCAACACACTTACTTTACCAGAAGGGGGGAATTTTTTACTTTTAAAAATGTATGGGGAAACTGCCGGGGCGTGAAAGGTTCCCAACATATATAGCGTCAGCTATTAAAGCAGAAAGAGGCCTTACCCATTTTGTTACCTCTGCGCATAAGAGCGCACCTGCGAAAATGTATAATTAGCAATTAGTAAAAAAAAAAAAAAAAAAACGCGTAAAAAAAAAAAGGCATATAAATGTAGCTGTGTATTTACTTGCACATCCACTCTGTGCAACCGTGAAGGTGAGGGTGCGCCAACCAGCGAAATGTTAACATTACCTTCCTGAGCGGAAGCTGCACTTGATACCGCACAGAAAGACGTGTTGGTATACTGGAATGAAGATGAAGAAGGGCCTGACGTGACAGAAGAGGGTATATATACATTTTCCATTTTGCGCCTTTTTTTTTTACAGACCCGCGCCACTCCTCAGCAACATGCTAAACGTAAAGGCAGATACCCCCCACCGGAAGGCATCGAACTCGTGCAAGAAAATACTGAGCGATATGATCGCATGTTACCAGAACACGATTTGTTATAAGCGGGAAAACGCCACCTTCGAAGAGTGCCTACACAACCATGACTTGAACGAGGTGGACGAAAACTGCATCATTTTGAGAAAGGCTTATGCGCAGTGTCGCCGCAATATACTCAATGGGAATTTTAAAATGTTGGGTAACCCTCTCTCGAGATGATTCAGTTGGACGGGTGGGGGAAGGGACAAAGATGGATCTCCTAAAATGCAACAAATCGGCAAAAAGAAGAAGAAAATGGAATGGGCATATAGGTAAATAAATAAATATATATATATATAATAAATGAATGCACAAAGGAGTATATAGAAGACACCTCGCCCCCCCCAGCGATTACTTCGAATAAACAATTAAAAACAAAATTATACTTATAAAAGTATACACTTCTGAAAAAAAAAGGGCGTAAATTCCCCTGGCGTGTGCAGACATAGGCTAATTTATAAACCTCTGTGTACTGTGCACATAAAAACACTTTTAAAAGTACGAAACAATTTTTTTTTTACCTGCTTCTTTTGCCCTTGCAAAAAGGGCTATATGCGCTTGCAACACGTGTTCTCACGTGCACATATAATGCGCTTTACAAATTTGATATGTTTTACTAATTGGGTATTCATCTCTGTGCACCTCTAACCATACCTCCTCGTACTGGGAGTCTTTTTTGCGTTACTTTTAAACTTTTTTTTTTTCTTTCTTTTTTACACCATTGTGCGTGTGGTTCATTGGGTGATATTCTCCTCACGTGGTGGGTGACATAAAGGCGTGTCCATAATATCTCATGATAACACTGGTTGGGCTATCCACCTTAATCGCCCCGCCCTTTGCGTGCCGCAGCCCTCCCTTTAAATTTCGATCTCTTTTTTTCCTGGGAATCGCCTTTTTTCCCGCTAAAGCCTCGAAGTTTGGTCTTCCTGTCTTGCTTGAAGTAGGGGGAGACATAGTGTAGGGGGACAATCTGATTCAATGTCTCGTCGTCCGTTTTCAAAATATAATCCGTGGTGAGTTCAAAACTTTCCGGCTTCACTTTGAAATATTTGAATCGAATGGGCATGTCATCAATTAGGTCTTCATAAGCACTCGAGTCGTTCTCTAGGTATTCCAATTCGCTATAATTCTTCACACCTTCATGCTTCCCCCCCTCACCGTCATTGTGGTTGTTAATTTTGGATGCACTTCTATCAGCAGCATTGCCCTTTAGGTAATCCTTTGGAGGTGTGCAATGCAGAGGCACTACCTGCTTCTTCAAATCATGCTCATGTGTTATTTTTTTAAAACAAGGTTTACACACGGCAAAGTTGTCGCAGCAGGTGCACTCGTACACATAATTAAGGGGGCTTATGGGCACATTGCATTCGTCGCATAAAAACCACAGGTCGTTCGAATTTTCCACTGTACCGGAATGTGCATCAGTTGCAGTTGCCTTTTTTTTTTTTTTTTTTTCTCTCCCCCTTTGGTAGGGAAGTGTTGACAGTGACGCTTTCCTCCGCGTCTCCCCCTCCCTCGCCGCTAACAGGGTTGTTGTTGACATTGTTAGGGGTGTCCTCTCTAGTGTTGGGCCTATTGCGGTCGAGGTTTCTTTCCTTTTTCACGCCCCCTTTGTTTCCCTCCTTTTTCAAATCCTCCGTGAGCTTGTTTCGCTTCTTTTCCCTTTGCCTCTTCCTCTTTTCTCTGCGCTTTTCTCTCCTCTTTTCCTTCCTTAAGTCGATCCTGACGGTGCTCTTTATATGGCGCGGGTTGGAATTTATAATATTTCCATTCTGCTCTTCATAGCGAAAATTGTACGTCTTTTCAAACTTGGCAGCTTTGTCCAAATCTTCATCATCAACTTCGTCAATCTCTTCATAAACGTTATGTATTTTGTCTTCCCTCCACAGTTCTTTCAAAATGTAGTCCCTTAAAAATTCTTCATCTTTATTTAAATTGTCATTCCAGTATTCCTTTAACAGTCCATCTTCTTCCTTGACAATTCTGGATGTCTTTAGGAAGTTTTCATAATATGCTTTCTCCTCCAAAATTTCCTTTTCTGTTTTTTCCTTTATAGTGAAGAAACTCTCATCGTCACCTTCATTTTGGTTTTGTTCCTCTGCAATTTTGCATGCCTCTATAATTTTCTTTTTTAATTCCTCCTGCTCGTTTAGGTAGCTCTTTTTGTTTTTTTGAGAACACGCTTCTTTTTCCTTCTCGATAAGTTCTTCCTCCTCCTGGTCAATGGCATGTGACCCATCCTTCATTAGTATGTCTTTGAAGTATTCTGCATAGTTCAGACTCCCCCGCTTTGCGGCGCTTTTGCCGACTTGACCAACTTGACCAACTTCGTCATTTTGTCCAACATCGTCATTTTGACCAACTTCGTCATCTTGACCAACTTCGTCATCTTGACCAACTTCTCCCCTTTCGCTGCCCCCCCCGTCGTCCGACACGTCTGTCTCAAAATCACTGTCGTGGAAAAAAAAATCGCCCTCCTTGGGCAGAAAGCTCGTATCTTTGCTTTTTAATTTGATTAACAAATCGCTGAACTTTTTTTTAAACTTGGAAGTGAGCAATAAACCATCATGGTCTTCATCACTGCTAGAGCTTTTGTCGTCACTTGACAGGGTTTCGTCATCTTCTTTTTCCCCTGATGGCTTTTCCATTCCCTTACGGTTCGCCTCATTTTCTCCATGGCAATTTTTTAAATTACCCTTTTGAATTTTCCTTTTTTTTCTTCCGGTCCGTTCTGCACTTTCGGAGGAATCATTTTCAAGACACTTATCATTGGTGTCCTGTTCGTTTTCTAGCTCGGCCGCTTCCTCACCATGACTATCTTTGTCAACCATTTCGTTTTTTTCTTTAACATGGGGCGATGCTGTTCCATCCTCCAATTGGACGCTGTTTTCACTTCCCCCCACTTGGACCTTATCTGGAGGGTTTCCCAGTTCCCCAGTGTTGATCATTTTTTTTTCCCTTTTTCTCAGCCGTTTTGCCGTTCGCATAACAGAGGAAGCTGCATAGGCGAGAAATCTAGTAATAGTAGCGTTATACACTGGTCAGTTGCATAAGTTGCTTCTGATAGCACGTGGTTCGTACCAGGCATCCGTGGGTACGTCCTCCGCGGTATACGCTACTCTGCTTCAATTTTATTTTACGCGTATCTTTTACATGGTTTGGATGGGTACACGTATTGCGGCCGCGTCAGCTTATTTCCGCCTACTTGGAAACCCGCTCGCCCAAATAGCTGAGAGGACTATATGCGTATAAAAAGAGCTACTGAATGTGTCATTTTCTGTTTTTTTTTTTTTTTTATTATTTTTTTTTATTTTTGTGGGAGCGAGAAATTTATAGGCCCGCTACTTCCCCTGAGGGTTACGTTTGATTAACTCGCCGTCGTACGGAATTTATTACAAACATTATAAGGGGGTAGAGAAAATGCAGATTGCATGACGGACCGTCAGAAGAACACCCTTTGGCGTTTATTTTTATCGATGTATTGCATTTCATTTTTTTTCTTTTCCTTTTATTTTCCGCTTTGTTCGTCTTCTCCTTTTTGCCTTTTCCCTTTATTGTTTTTTTTTTCCCTTTTACGATGCTAACCGCACTGAATCTTTATTATACTATTTTTATGCCGTTTCTTTTTTGGGGGCCCAAAAGTGGGCAAGATAAAGAAAAATTCAAGCAAACAGGATGATGGCAAGAAAAAACGTGTTACCACTTTGGCACTTAACTACCTCGCAATTTGTGCCCTTCTTTTTCTTTCTTTGAGTCACTTTACATGCAGCAATGACGCGCGATGGAGATGCAGAATAAATTCACGACATATGAAAATGCAATGCATGACGCGCGTTGAATTTTACTACGGAAATCAAATAACCTTATCGAAGGAGCCTTCGCAAAAGGGTGCCCCCAAAACAGCACGAGAAAAATCCCTTCAATGGTAGGCTAACAACACGCGGTCATTTGTTCCTTCTGCAGCCATGCTCAAATCGTATGCCCAAAACATTGCCAATTTCGCATACATATACACCTGCCCTTCATTGGTTCCATAAGACGGTACTCAAAACGTACTGGGCGAACTGATTATCCATTTTTATTGCGCAAAGAAGAAAAAAAAAGGACGAGCACGCAAAATGGACATTATTGTCCTTCAACTCTGTCACGACAGAAGGGGGTCCATATTTTAATACACATTTTAAACAAAAAAAAAAAAAAAACAGGCGCACGGTCGTCATGCTCGTTGCCCTTCATATGATGTGGACTACACACCGTGGCGTCTCTTCGCAAAATTAAAGCCTATATTTATCATCACTGCAAATTGGAGCAAAAATGGGGACAAAACATACGGGTTAGTCGTGCAACCATAATGCATATAAGACTGCACAGTTGCTATGCGAGTGTTCCGCCGCGTGAGCCATGTCATGGTGTACTGGTGGAGCAACTGCAACGCGCAGGCAAAATGGACGACAAATGGACTCTCTCTCTTTTTGTTTTTTTTTTTTCTCTTTCTCATTACAGTGGTTGAAAGGGAAGTCTGAGCGCAACTGGGTCATAGTATTTACATAAATTTCCTAAACGGGGAAGGTGAAAAATATAAAAGTCCCATTTGCGCAGTTGTTTGAGTAGGGTTACTCACGTGCTGGTGTTTCTATGGAGTATTCCCATTCTGCGGGTTTGCTTCCCCCCCCCTATGTGGGGACCCCCTTACCGATGTACTTCATTGACAAGTTGTAACCCATGTCGTTGTAAAACAACATTTGCTTTTCCATAAATCGTCTTCTACTTTCGTTGGACACATGGGTAGTATCAAAAAAGGAGATTTTCATGTACCTGTAGCCGTAGTAGGCGCCGTAGTAAAAGAGGCCTACGAAAAGGGGGTGGGTGGGGGGAGAGAGAGAACATTGTATGGGGCAGCTTCACACAATGTTCCTTCTGAGAATGACTGGTGCACTGTGCACACAGAGTCAGTACTCATATAGTACCTGCACATATTCCAAACAGGACGCTGTGGGTTATGCTCGGACCCTTAAGGGTGTGATAAACCCCGCTGCAGAGGCGTCTACAAAATCCTGGAGGAGAAAGGGAAATGGCGACCACATAAGTTAACGCTTACTGAGCGGTATGCACAGATTGGTCCAAATGTTTCACCCATCTGTCGCGTATTTGGGGTGTCATGAACGGGTGATTCTCCCCATGTGCTTATCCGTCAATTATGCATCTTTTTTTTTCCCTCTTCTACACAAATTTGACGAGAACCGAAGGGGACGTGCAAAATGTGCTGTGTTACCTCCTTTTTTCTGTTTCTCCTCCAGCACGTTATTTGCCATTTTAGCTCTTCGTTCGGATGGCCACAAAATAGGGAATGTATTGTGGGCGCGGTATCACTCGATCGTTCCAAACTTGAAGATAAAAAAGGAAGAGTTCAACGCGGGTGAGAGGAAAAAGTGATTACGTAATGGTGTTGCTCATCTGTTTAAGGAGCTGGAAAAAAAGAAAAGAAAAAAAAAACAGCACAACAAGCAAACGAGAGAACTGTTGAGCGGCCAAACAAGTGAACAAAAAGGAAACCATCGAACGGATCAATTTTGTTCATCGTTTCCTATCCCCGCATACGCGCGTGCGAGTAACAACATGGAGGCCGGTGTATGCACCCCTTTTTAATTTCCCATGGGGAGAAGCGCTATATGGCAAAAAGGTGAAGCACTAAAAAAATGGGGGACGGTCCACGATTAATTTCGCTTTTCAATCGTCTCCTTTGCCGCCTCGTGGGGTCTCTCCACCTCCTGTTACATTCTTGTTCATTCCATTTTGACTTCCCTGCCAGTTGGCACCGCAGGGAGTTAGATTCCAAAATGCGCATAAGAGTTAGGAGAACGAAAGGAGGCCCCCATCACCTTTTTAAAGATAGGTAATTTGATCGAAGAGGAACACCGGGAAGGAAGTTAAATTTATGGTTTTTCTCCTTTAATCTATCGCCTTCTCTCCGCCCTTTTGCGTCCATTTCCCGCCTTTTCCCCTCAACTTTCTCGCATTTCCACTTTCTACGAACTGCCCCCCAAGCCATCCTCTCATTACGTGGGTACGTGAAGATATGTCGAAGAAAAAAAAGAGCGCCAAGAGGAAGAATGGCAGCAGCATAGTGTATTACCACCCGAAAATTACATCCACCATTTTATTATGTTCATGTTACTTCTTCTACGGCATATTTGGCGTAGTGTACGTGATCCTTGTTCTGATTGCGATTATCTTTTTAAACCTTGACCACAGAAACGATGACAATGGTAAGTGGGGAAACGCCATAAGTGCGTACTCCATATTCAACAAGGGAAGAAAATACCTAATTGGCGATTTAAGAATGAATCAAATTGAGGCAGAGCTCCGGAACAGGAATTTTAAAAATGACGACAGTGACGATAACTTTGTTCGATACGATGATATTGATAAAAACAGATTTTACGTCAAGGGGTCTTCCAAGTATAACAACAAATTGTGCACCTGTGGGTCCAACAAGAAATTTAAAAAATGTTGTGGAGCAATGAAAAATAATTTATCAGATTATTGAAAGGCGCCAAAAAAAAAAAAAAAAAAGAAAAAGGAAGAAGAGGCAACCTCAGACGTACAATTTGTTCACATTTTTTTCCTCCTAATGTGGGCGTTCTTTGTCTTGGTATGATACTTATAGACACATTTGACTTCCAAAAGGAAGGAAGGTTACTTTTACCCCATGTGAAGGGACACACTGCGTACCTTATAGTTTGTCAGAGCCTGCCCACTAGATATACGTCCCCCAGACCGCCCAATGATATTCCTCATCACCCCATATGCCTCATGCACCTCATGCGCGCGTGTGTGCAGGGGCGCTGCCAAACAGGACGGGCATTTTTCTGCACACGGCAACCCCCCGATGTAATGTATTTTTTTAATTTTTTAGTTAATAGTGCGCCACAAAAGGGGGAAGCACAACAAATTGTGAGCGACAACAAGCGGCCAGCCACAAGGAACTTTTAAAACTTCCTTTCAATTCCCGCCAACGTGATGTCAAGTAGTCAAGCAGCCAAGGCACACGCTCAGAAATGCGACTTGTTCCAAGGTGAGCGGGAATAACCCACAGGCAAAGTGAACAAAATTGAATAAATACCAAAAACGTTGTTCTCCCCACCCAGGCACATAAAGTGGCAATTAAAATAGGCGGGGGAGCACAAATGCTGATTTCACACAAAAAAAAAAAAGAAACAAAGAAACAAAGAAACAAACAAGCAAAGAAACAACGAAATGTCACTTATAGGTGATCAAACCCTTGTGGCGGTTTGCTCTTTTTCACGTCGCTCCAGACACCTACGGAGGTACACATCTACGTTTCCTAACCCCTACACGTGTGCGTCCTATTTAATTCCTTCTCCTCCTATCCCCCCGAGTGAGCTATCATTCTTCCTCTTGGCCTTCAAATTAAACAACTGAGACACCACATTGCCGTTCTGCCGCATGGTCTCCGAGTTACCGTAACTTTTTAATTCTTCAGAAATTTTTGTGAAAATTCTTTTTACATTTTCAATATTGGTGTATTCCCTTCCCTTGAGCGTCAAAATGAATTTTACCTGCCGGGGAAAAAGTTGCGATTTTTTTGCGGGTTTCTTGCGGAGGCTACGGTCAGCCCACAAGTAAATTTGTACTATCGTACGTATGCGGGTACATTTTCTTTCCACACACAACCGTGTGAATGGCACCCTTACCCTGTGTCTTCTCAGCAGAAACTGCTTCGCTGAATTTATCTTTATAAGCAAATCGTTGGTCCCAATTCTACGAAAAACATGTTGGGGTGCGCGTACATGAGTGACAGCGCGAGAGTCGCCACGGGAGAACAGTCATACGAGATAAGGTGCACGTAGACACGGATGGACACATGTATGGATGGAAAACTCACTTCGCCCATTACCTCGGCGTTATTCGCAACTGCTTGACGACCTTGTTTTCCGCCTTGCTCTTCAGCTGCTTCATTTTCTTTTCCTTAATTGTAAAAAGTGCAGTTTTTTTATTTGTCTCGCAGGTTTGCGTCTGTATTCGCCGAGATGGCTGTGCGTGTCCATGGGCACAAATTACAGAGTGACGGACGTTTCTCTGGGTTAAGCAGCTTTATCCAGCGAACGTTTCTTACAGGGCATAACCTTGCCGGCCGCCCTCCCCTCGGCCTACCTGCATATACCGTTCTAGCCCCTCGGAATAACTGGACGCATCATTCGACTCCTTCAAGTAAAACAATTTTCTACAGCACACCTTGGGGATGTAAAAGCAACAGACGTACTTTCCATTCCTCAGGGAAAAAATAAACACATGTGCCAGGAAGAAAAAACAAAAATTACTTAACATTATAAAATGTTCATGGGGAAAAATAAGAAAATGAGGGAACACCCAAGCACAGAGGTTGGGTAAGGGCGCTGCGCCTCAGGAAGTCATTTTTTCCGAGTAACTAAACCATGTGGGGGGATGAGTTCCAAATTGTATTTTTTAAAAATACGTTAAAAAAAAAAACGGTTGAGGGTATAAGGGAGGGGGGAGTTTGTTTGTTCATTGAATGTATGTAATGGGGCACGCGAAATGGGAGAAGCAGCAAGGGGGCACAAGCACGGGTTGCAAAAGGGTTTAAAAAGTATGCTTGAAAATGGGCTTCAAAAAGTATACTTGAAAATGAGCTTCAAAATAGGCTTCAAAATGGGCTTCAAAAAGTATGCTTCAAAATGGGCTTCAAAAAGTATGCTTCAAAATGGGCTTCAAAAAGTATGCTTCAAAATGGGCTTCAAAAAGTATGCTTCAAAATGGGCTCCAAATGTGTCATCAACACTTGCGACTAATACGTTTGAGGAAGAATTGCTGCGGGGCTGGGAATGCCGCCAGCGCTAATAACCCCGCTAATAGCGTCTTCCTTTGTAAACCTCCCCCCAAAAAACTCCTAACATAGATAACCCCTTTTCTTTTATTCATAATTTACAATTTTCACTTTTTAAAAAGGCATACGAATATGCGCGCAGAGCGCGTCTATACATATCGTTCACATAAACAGGGCAAAAAAAGGACGAAAAAAAAAAAGAAAAAAAATTTCCTAACGCTCCTTCCTCGTGGTTATTAAAAAATTAAACATGTTCGCATATGTGCTCGAATTGCAGTCGTAAAACTTTTCCTTCTTCCTGTAGAGGTCCAACAATTCGTAGGCGTCCATGTCGAACTGGCAAAACGGGGGGGCAGGAAAAAGAGGTAAAATGTGCGGGATAGAAATCAAGCACCCATCTATGGAGCCAAATTGCAAAAAAAAAGAAAAATGGAAGACAAAAACGAAACGAATAAACTCGTTCCACGGTGGCTCCGTCGGATGAGCTAATTTTAACAAAAATGGGCAATTGAGCGGGCAACCCTTTTCATGTTCTCTGCTCTTGCACAGAACACAGAACGGTCCAAACGAAGCCACCAACTTACGTCGTCTTTTATGCTCGCGTTTGCGCCATATTTTATCAGTAGGGTGAAAAATTCCGGAAACCCATTTTTTATAGCAATGTGCAAAGCCGTGTCTCCTTCCTGACACATGTACGCATGTAGAGGAGTATACATTCTGTTTCTTTCAGTTCCGTACAAATTGTCTTAAATGTACGTTTTGGTAATTTTTAAAAGACCTGGCCCCCCTAAATAGGACGTATTTTCCACGTACCTTATTCTTTAAGTCAATGATCTCCTTGATGCTGTTCCGACAGAGGATATCCAGACAGTAGATGTTGTTATTTAGCGCGATGATGTGCAGGCAGGAGTCTCCGTTTTCCTGAAAAAAGTTACAGGGAAGAGACCAGTTAGAAATGAGTGCAGAAAAAAAAAAGAGATAAAAAAAAGGGCGAAGGAAAGGAGACAAGCACTCCATATCATATGTAAAAATGGAGGGGGAAAAAATTTCAACCATCTTCTTAACCCTAGTGTACGTTTCCACACCGTTGATCTTGGCATCTTTGTAAAAGTATTGTCCCCCTCCTGCCCAGAAATTAAATTCTATTTGGGTAAGGAATCAGTGGCATATTTTCCTCCCCCCTTACATTAACATGCTTATAGTCACACCCATTGCTTAGCAGAAAGTAAAACATGTTCGTGTCTTCATTGTGAGCACAGATGTGGAGTAAGCTGTTGTTGTTCTGATGGATCGATGGTAAAAGAAAAAGAGTGCATGCATGAGTGATTGCACGTGTACATGCGAGTCTTATTGCATTTATGTGCAGGAATATACAAATGGACAATGCGCAATGCCGGGGAGCAGGGTGTGTGTGTGTTGGTCGGTGCTCTATGCCACTGTCATGCCCCTTTACGCACTTAAAAAAAAAAAATATACCACATCCGCTATTTGTTCTCACCAGAAATTTTCTATTTATGTCATTATTCTTTAGTAATTTTTTCGCCCTCTTTAAGTTTCCTGGGGACGAAGTAAGTTGGGATGCATGATATAGGTGTGCAGGCAAATTTACGAATGCTTATGTACGACATACCTATGAAAACGCTTAATCCCAAGTCTGACAACTGGTCACGCACGCTGTCATTGGTTAACGTTACAGATATCATTTTTGTTTAGCTTTTGTTTGAGGGGTGTTCTCAACTCGGAGCTTTTGCGCGGCGGTTCGCCACCTTTCAGGTGGGGCCCTTTTCTTGCAAATGCAGCGCGGTGTTTCAGTTTCGATTCGTTTCGTTTTGCTTTCTTTATTTATTTATTATTATTTTTTTTTTTATTCCCTCCGCTGCTAATTCTTCTGTGGATGCACTGCAGATTGTTCACCTGCCCACCATTTTCCGTTGTGCGCTTAATCAGCAGGAGTGCTTGTTTTCCACCAGGAGTGTGTCTTCCTTCTTCCTCACTCGGTTAAAAATGCAAAAAATGAATAAACAAATAGAATACTCTTAAGGGAAGGGAAAAATTTCAGTTCTGTTTTCGCTTCGAAACGGGGGGACGATAAAATGGGGGAATTGCAATGCTGTGTCTTGTTGCGACCTGCCTTTTGCGCCATGCCGGTCAAGTCTCATTTGGTGCAGTTTTCGTATTTTTCGCATTTTGTAAATATATATATGTATGTGTATATTTTTTTTTTTTTTTTTTTTACATTTTCCTGCACACATGCGCGCGCCCCCTTCCACCACGCCGTACGTCCAAATCACAAATTTCACAAGCGCTTGTTTAAATTGTTTACAAACATGTTTCTACACCCCTCCTTTGGGTCGTGTAGAACATGAGGTTTTCAAAAACAAAAAAAAAGTTAATGCGTTTTTGCATCATTTTATCATTTTTTCTTTTTCACAACAGTTGAGAAGCACACAGAAGTTACACACAAACATGTTGGCGCAGAAGCGACCACATTACGCAAATTGGGTGACGCGATACAAATCGGTGACGTGATACAATGGGGTGACGTAATACAATAGGTTGACACAAAATTGGTCGAAACGGGCGTAGACACAGCACAGCTAAAATTACGCGCTTACATATTCGCACAAAGGTGGCGCGCAAAATAACTCCGCGTGGCCATGTCAAATATCGATGGGCAAATTGTTCTTTAGTCGTTTCTTGCGCTCGTCCATGAGCCACTGCACGAAGGTCCTGCATGGAAGAAAGGCGTAAAAGGGGGAAATGGAGGAGACTCTCACGATATGGAAGAGACTCTTACGAAATGGAGGAGACTCTCGCGAAATGGAGGAAATTCTCACGAAATGGGGGAAAATGGCGCGGTATACAAACAAAGTGAACACTACGGAAGACGTAAGGTCACAAGGTGGACTTCCTCCCAGCGGTAGGAGTGGCCGTCCCCGAGGAGACACCCCCAGCACTAATAACACTGAACGAAACCGAGTTTTTTTGCGCTTACTTCTTCTTTTGGCTTCCCTTGTGTTCCTTCTGCACGTTCGTTTTTTTTAGTTTCTCATTGTCTATAACGAAGTTAAGAGCAACGTCTAGAGGAATATAATTTTCCCTATTGTTTAGTATGTTAATTTTGGGAATTCCGTTATCCGATGACGCTAAAGAACGCTTCAGATGGTTTTCATCGTCTTCGCTTTTGTCACTTTCGTCACTTGCGTCACTTCCATTCGATTTATTTGGCATTTTATTTTGTTGATCCTTCTCTAAACTATTCGAATGGTTGTTGTGCCTGTTTTTATCTCTCCATTCGTTTACCTTTCTTTCTTTCTTTTTTTTTTTTTCCACATCCGTTTCTCTCAAATTGGATTCTTTTATCTCCGTCGAGTGTTCTTCCCCTGGGTTGCTGTTCTTCTGCACGGCGGGGTTACCTCCCCCCGTGTTATTACCATTGCTGCAGCTTGGTTTGTTTCGTGTCTGGTTCTTTTTGACAAGATGGGCATTTTCCTCTTCAGGTGCGTCATTCTGCAGGGTGACTTCGTCCACACCGATTTTGTTTTCTTCCTCCAAGGGGGGTTCCTCATCCATTTCAGTTTCGCCATCTGATTCGATAGCTTCCTCTGCTTCAGTCTTTCCATCTGGTTCTATCTCCTCGTCTGCTTCAATCTCCTCGTCTGCTTCAATCTCCTCGTCTGCTTCAATCTCCTCGTCTGCTTCGATTCCCTCGTCTGCTTCGATTCCCTCGTCTGCTTCAATCTCCTCG